GTTTGTTTGTGTGTGTGTGTGTGTCTCTCTCTCTCTCTCTCTCCCTCTCTCTCTCTCTCTTTGTCCTGTCCCGTCCCGTCCCGTCCCGTCCCGTCTGTCTGTCTGTCTGTCTGTCTGTCTGTCTTTCTCTGTGTACATGTGTGAGTGAGTGAGTGAGTGAGTGAGTGAGTGAGTGAGTGAGTGAGTGAGTGAGTGAGTGAGTGCGTGCGCGCGCGCGTGTGTGTGTGTGTGTTGCTTTTCTGCTTCTGATATGACAATGGTGCTTGCTATGGCTTGCCAAGCCTCTTTGTAATTTGCATCTTCCTGATCTCGCAGGCCTTTGCGAGCTGATATTGTCCCGGTGCCCGCGGCGAGCAGAGCCCGTGGACAAGTTGGTCGCCGACTCCTCGGCGACCCGTCCGAAGAGCTTAGAGTTCTGGGTGTCGGGATGCTGCGGAACAGCTAAACACCTGAACCCTACGATCCTTTCGAGGTCCATAGGGTTGACCTGAGACCTGCGAACGGTTGCTTAGCCATCCAGCTCGGAGGGTGCCCGGCCCGGCTGCAACTAGGTCTAGACGTTCGAAAGTTAGTCAAGCTGTCAGGAAGCCCTTGGCAATTGTTGGGGTCTTGAAGATTTGGCAGCGCAGGGTCTAGTACTTCGTGGTTTGGGTTTCCTCCTGAGGTCAAGCCGTGCGGACCAGAGCAGGCTGTAGTTTCAGTATAATAGCCTAGTCCCAGGCAAGCGCACGCACGCGCACCCAGCCTCCCAGGTGAAGATTGCATTGTTCTCCTTGGGAAACTTGGCGGTGCATTCGGAATGTCGCGCTGAGCTCAACTGCTCCACACAGGCCCCCAACATGTCTCTGTTTTGGATTTTGGGGCTGATGCTGTAAATAAAACCTGCTTTCGTGTAGGGTATCGGCTGAGGGGGAAATATGACATACAACATATACAACAATCCAGCGGAAGCTATTGCGGATGTGAGTACTGATGCCTCACACTTACACCTGGCCGCCGGAACGCTTTAGCCTCAAGAAGGTCCCGTTTGACGACAGACTGTGTCGAAGCCCGTAATCCGACAATCTCTGATGTATTGTGAGCTCGGGACGTGGGAGGTGCGGGAGCTTTGCCATTACCTGATGAAGATCACCCAGCCAGATGACATTGTACACAAGCTCCTTGGCTTAGAGCAATTCTTTTCGGGCTCGCGGTGTTGATGTACATAGTCTTGCTGTTCCCGAAAGCTGGAGAGCGCTTGGCTGCAGTCTTGTTTCTTCTTTTGGGCTCTCGGCTCGCTCATAATGTGGAGAACCGCTCATGTGGTGCTTCGGCCGTATTGAAGTTTGTCTTGACCCGGTTGTTCGATGCCGGGCTTCAGGGGCCAGGGTTTGGGATCTACACTTCCTTCAGAAGAAAGGCGGAGTTCGGGGGGGGTCTAGGTCTAGGTATATGCTTTCATGCCGAGGTATTCCGGCCGCTTACTGCAGAAGCTTTCCCGGTGAAGGCTTGAGGGAATTTTTCGATGGCGCCAGTAACAGCCAATGCTTCGCCCACAGGGCAAAGCTAAGCCTCAGCCTGACGCCCAAAGAGGAGTGCATAGTGCAGAAGGCACTTGATCGTAATTTACCGTTATAGCTCAGAAGACAGCCGTAGACTCGAAGCGCCCCGCAGCCCTCAGCCCTTAAGTTCCAAGACCGAAAGATGAGGCCCCCGATAGGCAGTCTCGACCGTACCTACCACGCCCAGCCCCAGCAGCGGATAGTACTTATGTAGACTGCAGGCCCGCTCTCTTTAAGCAGGCTTTCCTACGGGTGCCAAAGCCCTGCTTGAATTTATGTGTTGGGTTATACGTAGTTTAGACGGGTTTCGTTTTCCCTGACGTTTTGGTAGAAACGTGTTCAAGATCCCGCGTGGCGCCTTTGGGCTGTTCTTGCTGTTCACTGTCGAAAGGCCTGAAACTCTGAGTATGCCTTAGAGGCCTAGAATCTAGAAAACCCTCGAAAGATTAAAGCATAAGGCATAAGGCACGAAAACGGTAGGCACTCCAGAAAGACCATGGATGCGGGGTTGGCTCTTACTGGCGCACTTGATAGCCATCACAAAAACGGTGTTATTACTACCAAGGTATCAGGCTTATCATTATTATCATTATGAACCTGTAATTGTTTTTACGATCGCAACGTAACTTTGTTACGCAAGAAGTGCCATTGTCATTTTATTCGCAGTAATTACCTTTCGTTCCGGTGTTACATTGCCTGCTTTCTCACCGAGGACAGGTTGCTTGAAGGGGAGATTTCAAGCAACCTGTAGGGATACCTGGAACTCTTTGCTGTGCCGCGCAGCAGTTGTTGTTATGGGCATGCTAGTATTTTGCGATGAGCAAACTCGGGGCACATAACCTGGTCATCATCCTTATAGTGTAACAGGAAAAAACAGTAACGTGTATGTGTTCATGCATGTAAGAAAGAAGAAAGCAAGTTAGCAAGTTAGTAAGCAAGCACGTATCGCATGCATATAAATATTCTCACGCCCCCACGCGAAGACGTATGTTTGCATGCCTGCATGTATGTATGGTTGCATGTATGGAGGTATTAATGTATGACTTTAGGTATGCATGTACGCATATGTGTATGTACGTATGTACTGCTCCGCTTTAGTTTGGATTTTTCTCTCGACTCAAGCCAACGTACACATGTACACAACTGAGTTCTCGAGATCCGGCGGCACTGAGCTCCGAGTGCACTCCGGGCCGGGTGCAGAGCAGAGCAACAAAAGGGTTCGGAAGGATTGAATGTGTACTGGTCCAGTGTTTTGTTCAGGCTGGATTTCCGGTTGGAAGTGCATGCTTTGCAGAAATAATCAAGTAGCTAGTGGCCGGTATCAAGTAGATGTATGAATTGATATTGCTGCTTGGATTGTGTTTTGACTTGTTCGTGCATAGGACTGCATTGGTATATTGGTATTCTGGTGAGGCAGGCCCAAGCAAAGGAGCTGTTGGGGAAGTGGCCGTGTCGCCTTATTCCGTTTCGTGTTCTATCGTTGCTCGGATCCACGCAAATTTCCGTATTGTAGGGCACTTCGTTGAAGCAGATCTGATGTAGAAGTTCTATGCTTAAGCAGTGCTTGCTGCAGATGAGGAGTTAGGACTCTTTTGGCTTCCGATTTCAAGTTTCCAGTCTTCTTAACCTGCATGTTCCACTTGCTTCGTGGTCTGTAGATGGATGTTGGGTGCAGTGTCCTCTGAAAGATGCGCGGAATTCAGAAACATGGCACGTCGGAGTTGTTTTTTCTGGCGAGCTTCGCTTTCAGCTCGTGCGTAGGTGGACTTGAGCTTTGGAGCCCGGCGCAGATCTGAATCTATTACTTATAGCCCGATGGAATCTTCTGGCCACACGTGCAAACTTTCATGTTCTGTCGCAGTTCTTGTGCTCCCAAGCACACAAGGGACACTCACAGTATCCAATACATGCATCGCGACATCGCCAGCTATTGGAACTTCTTTAGTCACGGACGGAAGACTCCCATTTTTCCCCTCCAGCTCCCTCAGCCCTCTGCATAGCCCTGCGGGCATTCCGCGCGATGCGACAGCGGCCGGCGCTGCGATCTCAATGCTCCGTCCTAATCTGCTCGGCTTTGGCTGGGGCTTCCGAAATCCTTGGGATTGTATAGATCCTTGGCATATAGGAAGATGGCCTTAAAAGGCTTGCAGCGCATGAAAGGCGTCCGAGGGACGCAGGCCGTAGAACTGAAGCTCGCGCACGGCACATGGCACATGCTTGTCTTTAGATGCATGCTTCAGGCTAGGACATCCATCTCTCTTCCCGTGATTTTGCAGTCGCACCGATATGGGACAAGAGTGGAATAAATTGTTATCTCGGCTTTGCCTCCTTGCGGACTGAAAGGCATGTTGTCCGGCACATACTCTCGTGCCTGGTCAGATGCGGCATGCCAACCTGAAGACTTAACTAGCGTGTTAAGTTCGGCAAGTGGGCATGTGGCCTAATTTTCGTACAGGCCAGTTCGGTCAGTTCAGAATCGCTTCCGAACGCCTTCAATGCAGCTGACGCCATGTTGATTCCAGAGCCTAGAGTCCTTCGTTGAACCGTTGGCTCCGGCTCAAGATATGTGTTTTTTTTCTTGCCTCCTGGCACCTCCCGGCACAGGAAGAGAATGATTACCGGAGGTCCTCGGATTCACGAGGGGTACATCCCCTTGAAGAGCATGGCGACGATTCCTGTTCCTGGCCTCAAGTTGGAGCCCGGTCAAATTTCTGCGGCCTCGGAGTCGCCGGCCAGCGCAACAACAAGCAGCAAATGCTCCCCTTTGTCACGCCTGCCGCAGAGCAAATCCTTCTTCACTGCCAGTGCTACAGAAAAGCTTCAGCTCCATCAAGCCGGGCAGTGCTATCCGTGCGTGGCATTCGCCTTCAAGGCGGCTGGGTGCTACAAGGGCCAGAGCTGTTCGCACTGCCACTTTTGCACTGCTTCCGAAGCGACCGCACGAAGAAGGCAACTGCAGGCAGCGGCGCGGCAGCAGAGAAGGAAGCAGCGACCGGCGGACCAAGGGAACGAAACAACGGCCCGCATTCTTGCAGGAGAGTCCTTTTGGCTTTGAGGATAGGCGTGCAATAATGCAGTGCCGTGCCATGTGTGGTCAAGCAAGCTCTAGCAGCATGGGGGATGCGTATCCGGCAGGTGTGCGTAGAATTTTGTGACCTTCGGTAGTATGTGCCAAACCGTTGCCCATTTTCCATCCGCAAGGGCTTGGGACGTGCCACCGACACCCTGTCGGATGCACATCCGATCAGCTTCCCAGCTGCGGCAGCATCACGAGGTGTACTTGCAGCTTGCCCCTTTTTGACTTTTTTGCCTTCGGGCTAAGGCGCACGCTGGTCGCGACGATGATGCATTGTTTTAGAGAGACGCATCTGGAGATGCGTTCCGTTTGCTCTAGGTCTCTAGGTCGCCGACCTGCTGCGCCTGCGCAATTCCAACTGCATGTCTACTATAGCATAGATTTCCGGCAATTGCGTTTAATGCTGCTGCGACGGTCCTGCTTGTTCTGCAAGATGTCGCCAGTCTTATCTTCAAGATCCCTGCCATATCCAGCCCAGAGCTGGTCCTAGCGTTCCTTCGACAACACAAAAGCAGGGTTCAGGGGTTACCGTTGCGGATTTTTGAGGCTCCGCTTGCTTCGTGAATGTTTGCTGGCGGTCGGTTATTTCTCGAGTGGCTTGGGGTTGTCATGATGTTGAAACGGCTTACAGACACAGGCGTATGTGTATGTATGTCTATGTAGGTATACATCTATGAATCCATACACACATGGTGGGCACAACGCTCAAGAGCCCTCAGAGAGTGCAGCTACAAATCACAGCCCAAGGCTCGCAAAATCCTGCTCCTGAGCTGCTGGGGTTCGGAAGGGTTGAGGGATTCAGTTTAGGGTTGAGGGTGCCGGCACTGATAAGGCGCCTCGACGACGACAACGATGGTGGTGCCTAACCCGCCCTTTTTGCTTCCGTTTGCTCACTGTCAAGATGTCGTGAGAATTGGTTTTGTCCCTGGGGGTTTACCATAGGACGCACGGACGGACGGACGGACGGACGATGTGTTGATGAGATAAATGGTGCTTTCAACGGCTTGCCAGGACTCTTTGCAATTTACATCTTCCTGATCTCGGAAGCCTTTGTAAGCTGATATTGTACGGTACAAAGTCCATAAGCTTGTCATTATCATTTCTTAGTGTTGCACAAACGCGTGCGTAGTATGATGTATGTATGTATGTATGTATGTATGTATGTATGTATGTTTGCATGCATGCATGCATGGATGTATGTACTGTACGAGTTATGTATGTATGTATGTATGTATGTATGTGCTTGCATATGTGTATGCACATGATTGCACATGTGTATGTATATGTGTGTGTATGTCTGTATGTATGTATGTATGTATGTATGTATGTATGTGTGTATGGATCTCTGTGCGTGGGCATGCATGCGTGCGTGCATGCCTGCATGCATGGATGGATGGGTGAATGTATGTATATATATATATATGTATGTATGTATGTATATGTATGTACGTATGTGTGTATGCATGCATGCATGCATGCATGTATGTATGTATGTATGTATGTATGTATGTATGTTTGCAATGTATGCAGTGTATGCATTTAGTATGTATGTAATGTATGTATGTATGTAACGTATGTATGT